TTAGCAATTAAGGAAATGCCTTAGGGAGTGAGGCCAAGCCTATGGAAGAACTTCCTCAGTTGAGGGTCTCCCCTCCCAGGTGTCTCTAGTTTGTGTCAAATTGACAAAATCTAAGTAGCACACCAGACTATAAAGATTTATTCTGATTTGGGGGGGGTTAAAAAATATTTTTTTATTATTTTTATTTTATGTGTATGAGTGTATTGCCTGCATGTATGTGAGTGTACCTGTGTCATGCTGAGGTTGGAAGAGGGCTTCGGATTCCCCTGGAACTGGAGTTAAGGACAGTTTGTAGCCACCATATGTGTGCTGGGACTCGAACCCAGGTCCTCTGCAAGAGCAGTGTTTTTAACCACCGAGCCACCTCTCCAGCCCCTATTTTCATTTAAAAAAATTTATTATTTTTTATATGTATGCATGTATTGCATGCATGTATGTAAGCTCACCTGTGTTGTGCAATGCCTGCAGACAGAAGAGGCTGTCGGATCCCTTGGAACTGGAGTTATGGACAGTTGTTAGCTGCCATGTGGGTGCTGGGATTCGAACCCGGGTCTTCTGCAAGAACAACCAGTGTTCCTAACTGCTGAGCCATCTCTCCAGCCCCTATTCTTATTTTTTACTAAGTGTTTTATAGTTTTTGCTCTTAGCTTAGTTCTTTGATCAGCTTTGAGTTAATTTTTATTTTGTCCCAGCACCATTTCTTGAGAAAACTCTTCTTCCTCCTCTGAATGTCACCATACCTTTGTTGCAAATCACTTGACCATAAATTTTTTTTATTATTTTTAATTTCATGTGTATGAGTGTATTGCCTACATATATATAAGTACACCCTTATTGTGCAGTGCCCAAGGTGGTCAGAAGAGGGTGTCAAATTCCCCTGCAGCTGGAGTTACAGATGGTTGTGGATGCTGGGAATGGAACCCTGATCCTCTGCAAGAACAGCCAGTGCTCCTAACTGCTGAGCCATCTCTGCAGCTCCCATTTGACCATAAATGTAAGGATTCATTCCTGGATTCTCTGTTGTAGCCCAGTGATCTTAAATGATATTTAGGAAGAAAAACAATTCGTGTTTGCTGGCTCTCCACTGTGCCACCACACTGTCTTCAGTAGAGCTCAGGTGGTAACCAGAGCAGTTGTCGTCCTGGTTTCTGCTGACAGAGGGCAGTTAGCAGTTCCCTGTCATCGATGTATGGCCACTCCTCCGCTCACCAACAGCCAGCCCTGTCCAGCTGCTCTGTGCAGTTCGGGTCTTCACTCAGATCCTCATGCCATCCTGCATTTTGTTTCCTTCTTAGTTCTTTTGACAGTTTAAATTTTAACAGTTCCTCAGCATTTTTAGTGTCTTTAATGTGAACATGGTTCATCCATCTCTTTCAGGTGTAGAAGTACTGTGGTTTTTCATTTTGGCACTCAGTGCATACCCTAGCTCTGGTTTTTGGATCATCTTCAGCATTGAATGACCTGTGCTGGTGTTGTCTTCTGGTCTAGAATCTCTTACATGTAATTTTTCTTCTTATGTAGCATATAAATTCTCTAAGGACAAAGACCATTCTCAATCCTTTCATATGGCTGTATATGAAGTTGATTTTAGCGTATGAGTCTACCATCTCTTACTTAAAATCTTTGTAGCTACATTTTTATGAGAAATTAATTTCCTTTAGACTTCAGAAGGATAATAAACTATATGTAACTTGATACTTAACCCCAGCAGGGTCTTGGATAGTACTTTGTAATTAAATGCATTAAACAATTTGCTATTAAACATATTCACCAGTGGGAGTGGTATGCACTTGTATCCTCAGCACATGGGAGGCGAGGCAGGAGGATTGGAGTTTAAGGTTACCTTGGCTGCATAGTGTGTTCAAGGCCAGCCTGGGCTACATGAGACCCTGTCTCAAAAAACCTATATTCCCCAGTAGGGTCTAGAGCAGGATCCTTTGTTTAAAGATTTCTGTTTCTATAACAAAAAATGATACTTCACACTAAGGTATGATAAAGACTGTGGAAGCCAGCTATGGTGTGTGCCTATAATCCCAGCACTCTGAAGTCTGAGGCAGGAGGAAAGAGAGTTACAAGATCAGCTTAGGCTATGTGCCCAGATCCTGTCTCTACATTTTCTTTTTAAAAACGATATAAATAGTCCTGTGTCAGTTCAAGACCAGTGTTATTTGACTGACAAAGGGGCTTTGATGAAGCATACCTGGGTAGGGTTTGGGTTTGAGAATTCTGGATAATCGATTATGGAGCTTTGCTGATTCAGTGCTTTGTAACTGGAGCTGGAAAATGGCATTCTTCTGTTGTGCTGGCCTGGGCCAGCTTCAGTTCACTGTGATTAGTCCAGCCTCCTCTTTCCAGCTGTTTGTCCTGCACACCACTTACTTCATGTCATTCTTTTGTTCCTAGTCCTTGACGATGTCAGTGTTGGTGTTTCCAGGGTCTATAAGGAGCAGTTACCTTTTCATATTCCTAGATGAGAATTACCGCTGAGGATGGTCGTAATGTGCTCAGTGTCAGCTTGGGTGATGGAGCTCACTTCTGGTAGCATGGCCTCCTCTGCAGGGAGTACTGTGGGGGCCCATGTGAAACTGGAACTGGGTGCCACTTATCAGAGGCCCATGGGCTTGGTTTGGTGTTTTGTCTTGGAATAACGGTTTCCTTCTTTTGTGCCCTGATGCCTGGTGTTGCCAAAATAAAGCCACACCAGATAGCTCATGTTTATTTGGAGACACACATAGTAAGAACTAGGAATTTAAAGTTGGAATTGGAAGGTTTCATTGTTAGGGTACTTTAGAAAGACTTAGCAAAACTCAGGACAAGTTAAATGTCTTCCAAAGGCACACAGATGATTCTCATAGAACCATCTAGTTTTATTTTTCTTTCTGTTTGATATTAGAATTAGAGTGCTCAAGGATTTTTTTTTTTTCTCTTAAGCAAATTTAACTATCTTTCTGGATTTGGAAAACGTCTGTGTGGTTTCAGTCTATTGGAGTGAAAAAAAAGGTCATTCTGCTTCTTGGTGCCACCCTGGTAAAAATATGGTTTAAAGATATCTCAGGGACTGGAGAGATGGCTCAGCAGTTAATTGCACTGACTGCTCTTCTAGAGGGTAGAGTTTGGTTTCCAGCACTCACATGGCAACTAGCAACCATCCATAACTCCAGTTCCAGGAGATCTTGACACCCTCTTCTGGTCTCTGGGCATTGCACGACATTGGCAGAATACACACATAAAATAGAATTAATGAAAAAATTAAAGATATCTCAGGTTAAATTTATAATCAGAAGGTGGTCTGTGATTAGAGGATAGCCTCTTTATGTTTCCTAATTTGCCAACAACAAACCAATTTAAATTTGCTTTTGGAATTTAAAGATTAAATATAGGAAAGACCCAGTATATTTTTCAAGGTTTATTTTTATTATTTTTTAATTATGTGTATGTGGGTATGTGTATGTGCATGTGAGTGCAAATGCCAGTAGATGCCAGAAGGTGTCAGATCCCTGGATCTGGAGGTACAGGCGATGATTGTGAGCTGCTCTATGTGGATGCTGGGAGCCAAGCTTGGGTCCTCTGCAAGAACAATGTGTGCTTTTAACAGCTGAGCCATCTCTCCATCCCCCCAAGTTGTATTCACCCTCTCCCCCATCTGTATCTGTAGTTTGAAGATAAGGTTATGTTGTCCCACGTATGACTGATAGCACATTAAGTGCTGTACTTTGTTTTTCTGTTTTAACTTCTCTATTGCTATAGAACAGAAGCAACACTGTTTAAACAAAATGATGAGAAAGGTAGATGCCAATTTGAATTTATGAAGTTAGAAATTAGCCTGTAGTTGGAGTTGAAGTAAAATTGTTAGGGGAAAAACAGAATTATCATCATTAAAACTGAATGCCAAGGAGCTTTTATCCTTTTGTATATAAGGAGCACTCTAATGTTTCAGGAAAATAGTTACCCAGTGGGATAAACATTTATAGTTCTCTGAACAGTGTGCCTGTCCCTTTTGTCATCGAGTGGGAGCCGTGTTCCCCACAGACCATAAGTGCCTTGTCCGTTAGTGGCCGCCATGGTAGTGTGCTCAGCTCAGCGGTGTGTCAGAGTTCCTGTTCTCTTCTGTCATTTCAGATTTTAGTTTTTGAGTAATTTTCAGTTGTCCTGTGTTCCTTTTTGAATAATGACCCTGGACACTGTAGTTCTTTTGAAATATGAAGAGACTGAACTATGAGAGTTCCTTAATTTCCTAAACTTTATTTTCTAACTTCTTTGATTCAAATGGTTTTTGTTTGTTTTTGTTACTGTTTGGAGACCAAGTCTTGTTATGTTGCTGTGGCTGGATGGAACTCTGTGGACCAATCTGGCCTCTCACTTGCAAAGATTCTCCTGCCTCTCTCTCCTGAATGCTGGGATTACAAGTGTGATCTACCATGCCCAGCTTAAATGAATTTTTTGTTACTGAGAAAGGGTCTCACTATGTACCCCTGGCTGGTTGGTCTAGAACTCCGTAGCTATGTAGGCTGGCCTACAACTCTGGGAGATCTATCTGCCAGTCTCTGCCTCTGGAGTGCTGGGATTAAAGGTGTGTTCTACCACGGCCAACATCAAGTGAATGTTTTTAATTGAAAATTTTTATCAACTGTGCAGAGAAAGCTCAATACCCATAACAAGATAAAAGCCAAATAGCATTTAATAACAAAATCAGAACTTTGACTTGGGTTTCTAGAACACCTATTTAGGAATTTATGGGTTTGTAAAGGGACCTGGAAAATTTGTTCGTTGCCAATGTTAATTCTGTTTTGAATGCTTTCTAACTTTTGTGCATAGGGTATGTATGTGATTGTTTAATAGAAAAAAATGTGAATCTTACATTGTAGATAATCTTTCACTGAACATAGGACCTTTCGCCTGCCCTGGACTTCTTAGGACAATGTTGCCTATGTATTTGGTTTGGTCAAAGACTCGTGATGGGTTTAGTGTGCAGCATAATTCTTCATATTTTATTCTTTCAGCTTGGATTTACTTTGGGCAACGTGGTTGGAATGTATCTGGCTCAGAACTATGACGTAAGTGGCCATATTCACATCTTCCCTGGTTCCCTGTAACTGTTTCACGATTATTTTTCTTTGTTAAGGTAAGGTGTACCTGCTAGCCTAAATGAGGTCTGTAAGTGTGAGGGAAAAGTCCTGAATTTTATAGACAGTTTTCTTATTGTTTGAAAAAATAATTAAATCCACAGAAGCATGTCTCCTTCTTATCACCACAAGAGGGCAAAATCCATCAGCTCAGGGATGATCCCAAGCTGTGCTTAGTAGCACAGAGTAATAAGAAATTGCTTCTATGGGAAAACATTAACCTTACTATACAGACTAGGACTCAGAACAGGTGGGTGGTTGGGGATCCTAGAAGGTGCTTTAGAAAGACAAGCAAGGAAAGCATTCTTTTTTTCTTTGTTTTGTAATAAAGGTTTTAATTCCTTTTGCCAACCTTCACTTGGCTCATCTGGTTTTCTAGTCTGGGACTTTATTACTTTATCATTTGTTGTTTATATGTACAGCTTCTACTGGCACCGAATTGAGGGTCTAAGTTGGTATCTAAAGGGAGAAGTTGGGCCTGGCTTTCAGAGAGGGAAAATAAATTTAAAACTTTTGATAGCTTTCATTTGCAGGCATGAAGCTAAGAAATACCACCATTGAGCAGGTCTTTATATGAAAACAAAAGCTTGTAAAACCATTTATTCTTGAAGGAACCAAAATGAAAGAATGTTGATTAGATAGATGCAAAATTATAATGCCGCTTTTTCTTTTTAAGATGCCAAACTTGGCTAAAAAACTTGAAGAGATTAAAAAGGACTTGGAAGCCAAGAAGAAACCCCCTAGTTCTTGATGCCCACCAGTGCTGCATTCTGAATCCACCGATCACATCTCCTGAGGGAGCCGCCTCTATAACTGCCTCATCCCAAAGCTTTTGTGTTCCTGTCCAGGCTTGGACCCTGCGTGTTGCCTTGGAGTCACAATGGGGCCAGAAGTTAAGAATTGCCCGGTAGCCTTGCCTGCCTCTTCCTGTATCTTCTTTCCAGCCACTTAGGAGGCTCTAAGACTGGAATTACGGTGCTAGATTAGCAAGCACAACTTTTAGTAGTTGCTCGCCTATCCTTTGGGATTTCTACTACCTGTTAGTAAAAAGAGAAATTAATGAGTTTAGATACCTGATCAGAAACAGTAATGCTGATTTCACTGTCTAGCAATTACAGTGGGTGCTTGTTAGACTTTTGTTAACCACATTTTATTGTTTCAAAGTAATTAAAATTAGATCTCCAAGCCAGTTTCTGGTGACTTATCCATTTGTTTTATATTGTTCTCAAGGCGCTCCATGATTAATAATCTAACCAATAAATCATTTGCTTTTCATTAACCAAGAAATTATATTTTAAGAATGCTGTAAGAAACTAGGAAATTTAAAAACATGCAATTATTTTTGTCTCAGTAGAGTTAAGTCTGTGTGTTTTTCTTTAATGATATATTTGATCTGACTCTTACCCATCAAAAGGACCATTCTAATGGTTGCACTTGACATCACATGTTGGATGGGTAAGTGAGAAGCTGTTGGTCAAAGAAATGTTACAACTTTTTACATTCCCCTAAGAGAAATGCGGCCCAGATATGTACTAAAAAGAGCACCTTGAGGGGGATGTCTGCTTTTCTTCACAGCTGATACAATTAAAATGTGTAATCAGTCATCTTTTTTCTTTTTTGGGACAGTTTCCTATGCTACTCCAGGGTGGTCTTGAATGCCTGGACTCAAGCAGTCCTCTTGCCTTAGCCGCCTGGGTGCTGGGACTACTGGTGTGTACTACCATAATTTTTAAAATTAAAAGTAGTTTAATTGTAGTGGCTCCCATGGGTGAAGATATAAAAGTGATTTCATATAAAGGTCCCATCCAGCTCTTGTCTTCTTGTTCCCAGATGTCCCTGGTATCAGTTTCCTGTCTACGTTTGAGAAAGAGTGTCTAAATACATGGGTGTTTTTTTTTTTTTTTTTGCTTAAACTATAACAGACTGTATACATAGAGGTCTACCCCTTGCTTTTGTCTCTTCTTCTTTCCATCTTTTTCTTTGACATGGAGGATCACGAAGCCCATAGCCAACAGTGACCCTCAACTCCTGATCTCCTGCCTTTTCCTTCTAAGTACAGGGATTATGAGCATTCACCATCACAGCCGGTTGGCTTTTTGTTTTTTAGTTCATGGAGAGTATTCCATCTCAGTGTGTAAAGAGCAAGGACCCGGGGCTGGAGAGATGGCTCAATAGTTAAGAACACTGGCTGTTCTTGCAGAAGACCTGGGTTTGAATCCCAGCACCTACATGGCAGCTAACAACTGTCCGTAACTGTCCAGGGGATCCAACAGCCCCTTCTGTCCTCCATGGGCATTGCACGACATGGGTGCAGTTACCTACATGCAGGCAATACATGCATACACATAAAATGAAAATGATAAATTTTTCTTTTTTTAAAAAGCAAGGACCATTACTCCCTTAGGATTCTGTTGAATGGATATTTCATAATTGAATATGCTTCCAAGGAATGTTTAGGTGGTTCTTTTGTTTGTGTGGTGGTAACATGGAACCTACTGTTATGCATGTCCATCCAGAGGACAACTGTAAGAGAAAACCCAAGTCTTATTTGCACTAATACAGTTTTCTTTTAGAGGGCAGCTTTACTGTTCATGCCTTTCTGAAGATACTTTATGATAGGTAAAAGTAGCCGTATGACGAATAGGGTTGATCAGGAGGAAGCACCAGGACACAGATAAAACTCCATTGGAATAGAGTTTATTAGCAAAGGAACACGTGGGACAGATTCCCTTCCAGGCAGGGAATATGTCTGCCTGGGTCGTGAGCTGGGGTCTTTTATAGCAGAGGCTTCTGGAGGATGCAAAAGGCGAGAAGATATAGTTTTTTTAAAGTTGGGTGGGGGAAAGCAGGAGAGGGGGACTGTTGAAACCTGCCCCCTTTAGAGATCAAAGGGGAAGCCTGCTGTGTTGGCCAAACAGTGGAGAAAAGTATGCTTCTCTTGACTTCAAAGACCAGGGTGCTTATCAACTGGGTTCCGTTTTCTCGGGGGCTTGTGAAGTCCCTGAGACCCTGTTGTTGAGGGGGCGGGGCTATCTGAACCTTAATACTTTAGTGGACAACAGACTACAAGAATCACCTAGAGACTCGGTTTCAGACACTGATCTCATACATGAAATTTTGTCCCTGTAAAAGTTTTCCTCATGTATGAGACATTTACAGATCAAATATGGTTAGACTTTTACTCAGCAATGGGAAATGGGCAAGTGGCTTACTCTTTCTGAAACTCTTGCATTATTTGTAAGATGTGGATGTCATACCTACCTCACAGGGTTTTCATGAGAAATGAAAGATTATGTATGTGTTCTGTTACACTGTGCTTTGCAAATTATCCAGTAATAGTAGATATTAGTCAAAACATGCTGCTTTGGACCATAATCCTTCTGTATTTCTGCAATCACTTTTGGAAACAGTTCACTCATCATGCAGAATGTGGTGCTTATTCTGTGCTTAGTCTCAGCTATTGATGAAAGTACAGTATCCACCTCTGATCATACCACCTGGCTCATGAGATTTGATTGTAAATGTCTAACTGATTAGCAAATGAACCACAGCCTCAAATAAGAAAGGTTTGCCAAACTTGAGGGTATTCAGAATGCTAGAGGCTTATCAGCAAGCTGTTTACAAAGTCTGTGGGGCAGCATTGTGCCTGTGGTCTCCCAGAGTGGCTGCTTTGCAGATGATGGACCCTCAGATATTAGGGCTTTTTATATTTATACTATGCAGTCAAAGCATGTAGGGACTGGGGCTTCCGTCAGAAGTGGCTCTTATCCTTACCCATAGGATCATTTCTACTTAATGGAAACCTCCGTAATTTCAGCTTCACCATAGTAACTGGTACACAGTGAATATAGTCTGATCACACACTTGCAATCAGATACCCTCTCCTAGTTTTTTTTTCTATATTTTTTTCTTAATTATTTCTGGTGCTGGGGATCAAACCCATGACTCTGTACCTGCTAGTTTTCTGTTCTTACAGCACTGAAAAGTAGCTCAGAGTTCTTGGGCAAGATGTTCTTTGGTATATGTTGGAAAAATCTGGAGCCATCATAAATTTTAGGGTGTTGTTGAAAGTTGGTAATGTGGCTGGGGTTGTGATTGTGATTTGGTTAGAAAGAATCACTTTGTAGGAATCTTGCTGCACAGATAATGGAGTGATAAGAAAGGCATCACCAACACGCCCCTCCCTTCCTTCTCCATTAAAAAATATTCAGAATTTTAGTGATCTAAGTAAAACTTTTCCATATGTGACCATAAAGGAGGCTTACTCAAAATACTACAGATTATTGACATGTGAAACAGGAAACTGTAGGATTGTTGGAAACTTAATAAAGACATTAAACTTGAAAGACTTACCTTTAAACTCTCAACTAGAGAGAAAAGCAAACTTAACCTTGTTTAAAATTGTCAAAGGGGCATTTTATGAGTTGATATTATTATGATATCTTCAGACTTTTCTGAAGCAGTTACCTACTTCTAGTTTAAAGGAGAAATTATTTGTCTTTTTTTTTCTAACTCGTGAAGTTTTCCTAGTTGTCTGTCCTGCTGGCTCATGGTGTAATGTTTTCATTTCCACTGAGCAGTTCACACCCTAGATACTGTGCGGTGTTTTTCTGTTATGGTCTCCCACATTTTAAATGCCTTTTCAATGTTGTTCCTCATGAAAGAACACTCTATACTGTACTGTAGCAAATGAGGTCCTTCTAACTTTGCATTCCTTAACACATATGAATGAGTTATTTTTTCCCCCGTTATTAGGGCCTTGCCTTGTGGAAAGGAACAGGGTGGCGAAGGGAAAATATTTTGAGACCTTTCCTGGTCTTAAATAGGGAGTTTGTGATGCTTAGAATTCCAAGTGTTTGTTGTATACCTTTCCTAAGTCTCCTTGTAATGTATTCAGCCAAGTATGGAAGTTGCAATGAATGGCAGTTCTGTAAGGCATTGTGGAAGGGAAAGAAAGAAGAGGGAGATTTTGTGGAAAGAGCCCAGGGTGGAGAATTGCCTGAGTCATTGCCTCCCAGGGCAGGACTGGGAGAGATGTAGTGAGGCTGCCTCATCCTACATGCACAGACGTACAGGACCTGTTCATTCAGCAAGGGCAGCCCCAGGGTGAGCTGCCTGTGTACTTAGGTAGCCTCAGTACCTTTGTGTTCTAGTGGTTCAGGCATCTTGCAGTACTGAGAGGAAGTGTTCAGAGTCACTTTTGCCAACCATACAGTCGCCACAAGTGAAGCCAACTAACTACATTCTCCCTTGGCATTCATGGTGGATTGGTACCAGCCCCCTGCAGACACCAAAATCCAAGATGCTCAAGTTTCTAGATACAGTGGTGTGTATTTGCATCTAGCCTGTGCCTACCCTCCATATACGCTTAGTCATCTGTAGATTACTTGTCATACTAGAGTGCATATACCACGGAAATAAGCAATGATAGGGAAGCCATGGATAAGTTTGATACAGGTGCATTTCCCCCCCTCCCCAGGATTTTCTGTTGAAGTTAGTTGAGTTCACATGTACAATATCCACAGATATAGGGAGTCAGCTGCACTTTATTTGATGTTTAGTTCAAGAAACATCTGACATTGGAGGCAAAGTAGCAATTTTTAAAAACCAAAAAGGTGATGAATATGAGTCTTCATGACATGAAAATGCCGATGCAAAAGTTCTCAGCCTTTACTTACTGTGGGGAACTTAAAGGCATTTCAAGGCAACTTTAAGCAAACTTGATATGCAACCTATGAGAATAAGGTGCAGCCATACTTACTATCATTGGCTGTTTGAGCATCTGGAAAATGAGCTGATGCAAGATGACCAAACATCACATTTTCACACATACAGTGTGATATACAAAATAAAAATCAAGTCTTAGCAAGAGAAGGGCTGGAAGTGGAGTGATTTCTAGATGACTGGGTTTTTTTGTTTGTTTTGGTCTTTTTGAGGTAGGGTCTCCCTGTAGCCCCAGCTGGCTTGGAACTCACTATGTAGACCAGGCTGGCCTTGAACTCACAGAGCTCTGCCTGCCTCTGCCTCCCGAGTGCTGGGATCAAAGGCGTGCACTACCACGCCCGGTGACTAGGGTTTATTAATCACATCCGCTGCCCCATCATTGCACTAAACAGTCTTGTTTGGCCTGAATCTGGATTTAGGAAAGAACAGCACTGTTGTTGAGTGTAGATCAGATTGTAATGAATGTATTTCTAAGTCAGCTCCTTGAATGCATCAGCTAATGGAGCCCTGGCAACAGCGGAGTTGACATTACTTTGCTTTGAGGGTCTCAAATAGGTGGCCAATAATTCCAAGTCCACATAATTCTGAGTCAAATTTTCTCTTTTTCCTTTTTATATGCCCAGAATTGCATTATCTATGCCTGTCTTATCATCTAACCTAGGGAGTTAGTGTCTGAGTTCTTTAATGGTTCAGAAATGTGATTGCCTGCTTTGACAATACTCAAAACATTTTAAAGAAAATTGAATGTAGGGATGTGGATGTCAGCTCGTTCAAGCCATCTGTAACATTGCCAGTGCTTATGGGCTCATAAGGTCTTCCTTATTGTGATTGGCCAGACACTGCCAGTGCTAAATGAAGGGCAGAAGTACTCATACTCCTGGCTAAACCTGGTCAGTCACAGTTTTGGATCATGTAAGTGTTGACTGGCACAAAAGGAATTTTAAAACTCATACTTACACTCCTGGTAAGCTAGACGTGTGACTTTTTACAAGTAAATTATCATGGGAGAATTGTATGTACCTAAGTAGTAACTTTAGATTGTTGCAACCATATAGTAACTCCACTTTCCACAGATACATTTAGCAAGTAATTGCTAGTGAAATCAGAAGTATAGAATGGCAGAAAACAGAAGGGATAGAGAGTTCCTTCCAGCCACATAGCAAGGACATCTGATGGAGAACATGTCATGGTCCTTAGGAGGAAGGAAGGCTTGCTTTCCAATGATTTTTCTTATCAGGAACATTTATAGCAGTTTCAGTTACTACACTATAAGAACCCAAGAGACACATCTTCCCCTCAAAGGGCTCACGGCCTCATAGGAAGTGATTGACGGTTGGACCTTTGGGTACTATGAATTTTGTGTTCTACTCATTAAGTGGAGAAGCAAGCCAACATATCAGAAATACTGCTGTGCTTGTAATTGTAGTTTTGGTGTCCCTAACAGGTATGAAAGTTTTCCCTTCCTCCCCACACTTAGCCAAGGCAGTGGCATTTCCCATTAATGACAAGTGGCTAGAGAGGTGCTAATCTCAAGATGTTTTCATGTTCTGCTTCCCTTTCCTTTGACAGAATAATGCCTGCCTCTTTCTGAAGGGAGACATTTTTGTGTTACAGGAATTTGGTGCCAAGGTGAAGGGGAGCCACTGAAGAGAGAGACTTGAGGCAAATGAAAGAAGTGATAAAAGAGTTCCGATCACCTCGAGAGTTGCCTCTTTGTACAGGCAAGATAGAAACACTTGAGAGCACTAGGTTACACTATCCCCCCAGAAGACAGGTCACGGGTTTCAATTGTCTGGGTATCAGTTCAGTTCCTAGGAGGGTATTACAGATAACAAAACCTGGTGAGGCCAGGCAGTTGGTGAAGCTTCACCTTGAAGGGCAACTAAGACAGGCTTGCAACTTTTCCTGTCTTCAGAAAGAATCAGCTGTTAGGGTGGGCACAAGGAAGCCAGAGAGTGGGTTTTCTTGAGTGATGGTGCTAAGGAAAGGCAGGTGGGGAAGGAGGTGCAACAGCTGACACGTCTGGTGGCTGGTGGAATCTGGTGGCAGGGATATCCTCTGGGTGTGTGCTCCTGGTGGTTTTCTTTGCCTGTGGCTCAATTCTGGTCGTGCTACTTTGTCCACTTGGTTAGGTCTGATCGGTGATGTTGCTGACCTTAGCCCAGGCTGGGAAAGTGTCCAAGTGGAAGAGGCTAATTCCCCAGGTATTGATGGCCACCATCACTATCACCAGGCCAATGACATTGACTCCCAGGCCAGCTTTCACCTGCAAGACACAAACCAGAAAACCCTGCTCATTCTGAGCCAGCAGATTGCCCAAGTGAATCCTTTCCCGGCTCAGCCTAAGACTTGAACCTATGTGGTTCTGACTTGGTCCAGGGGTGGCCTGGGCTGCTTCAGTGCTGCCCTGTCAAGTTACACAGAACTGTAGGACTGGGAAGTCAGGGAGGGAACAGGAGAGGGTGATAAGATTGATTGCTGCTTTATGCTTGCTGCACTCTATATATAAAGTGAAAGCCTAACAGCCTGGTAGTTCCTTGGGAAACCAGGTTTTTGGAATGTTATTTGTACAATGAAATGATGGGGAAATGGATTAAACTTGAGATCTGAGCAGGAACTTCTTAGAGCCTCTTAAGTGCTCGTGTGCAATAGGAACTTGTGGGAAGGGCCATGTTTTGCCACTGTTAGCCTTTCCCCTTAGGAACAGCTGAGGGGTGTAGAGTACCTTGGGTCCCTTAGGGAAGTAGCTGCCTCTGCTCTGCCCCTCCTCAGGAGGGTGACACAAGCCTCCTAGCTGCAGTGGGGCCTTGGCTTATTCTTTGAGAGGGAAGTGTGCCTCTGACAGGATCCATTTCATTTTTGCTGTGACATTGACACAGGCTGAATAGAAATATGAGGGATGATGGACTGGCTGAGCCAGGGCCCAGTGTTAGCACAGCTAGCATTTTTCCATCAAGTAACCAAGTGCATAGCAGATTGCCCACACAGGTCCTCTAGCTGGTAGTAAGCTGGAACTATTGTAAGGGAAAAAATGGATGCTGGAAAATTGTTCAGAGCCAATGACTGGATATGTCCTCCCGCCTTCTGGCTAGGACCCACACTTCTCAGTCATTTTGGGCTTTGTGGTGTGAGGATGCTTCCCAGTAGATGATGGGTAGGTTCTAAAGTACTAAATTACGGACCTGTGGAGCTGAAAGGGACGACAGGGGGTATCCAGTTGGAACCGTCTCATTTAGCAGATGAGGAAATTGAAGCTTTTATGTTAGCATCCAGGCTTGGAGTAGGACCCGTTGCTAACTCACTTGTCTGCCTGTCCCTTTATCAAGTACTGTGATGGTTTGAATGAGAATGTCCCCCATAGGCTCCAGGTATTTGGACATTTTGTCCCCACATGGTGGTGATGTTTTGGGAGGTTTTAGAAGGTGTTTTGGGAGGTTTTAGATGTGCTATCCTGGAGGAAGCACATCACTGAGGGTGGGCTTAGAGAGTTCTTAAGCCTTGCCAGATCTCCAGTCGCGCTCTTGCTTCCTGAGCCTGTGTGATGATGTGAGAGCTTCACCTCTGCTGCTCCTGCTCCAGCCACCTCCAGCCACCATGCCTCCCTGCCATGATGGACTGTAATTCCTCTGGAACCACAAGCTCAGATAAACTCTTCCTTCTATAAGTTTCTTGGGTCAGTGCTTCTATCACAGCAACAGAGGCGTGACCAATACAAGTACTGTCTGATCATTAGACTCTGGTATAGGCTAGGAGTGAGGGTTGGGCTGGGCAAGGGGAGATGGAAGGCAGGAGAGTTGGGAAGAGCTCAGGGAGTGAACTGTAGGATACGCAGTAAGAGGAGAGAGAGGAATGGCCGTGAGCCACCACCGAAGTAGCCCAGATGACTTGGATGAGCAGTTTTAATGGTAGAATCTCCAATAACTTCCTTTCCTCCATTTGCTGTTTTATACTGTTGCTGAGAAAAGTGTTTTCACCTCAGCAAGGTGACTGGACTCTATTTCAGACACTTGGGCCTTAGTGATTTGTATTGGTTTATCCTCTCCTTGACTCCTGGTCAGCCTTGGGTATTAAGATCAGCAGTGAGTACAGGCTGAGTAGTGGAAATGGACATGTCCAATTAAGGCAGCCACAGAAGGACTCCTCAAAGCCACCTTCTGTGAGCCCAGCTGAAAACTAAAACTGAATTGGGGACGGTTCATTTTACCATTGTTGCCTCAGAAGTTTCTTGCTTGGGTGAAAATGGAACAAAAGGATCCTGTTCTCACAGAACACCTTTCACCCCAGGTTCACAGACTTTCTCATACTTCACTGTCCATGAATAAATCGGCACTTGTTCAGTGAAGATTTGTGCAAGCTCACGCCTTCTGGAACAGGGCCACAGTCTGTGCCCAGCCCAACTGTCTTTATCCCTTATCCAGCTTTCTTCCACTTGAGGGTTTGGGAAAATACACTGCTATTTCCAATTTATAATCTAACCAAGAAACTTTTTGCAAGATTCATTCTTTCCTCACACTGGCAGAGTGTTGGGAGGCTGCTATGAAGTTAGGAACTCCAGGAAAACCCTCCATAGCCAGCCATTCCTTCCCTCGTGGAGCAGGGCCTGGTGGAGGGTACCCCACAGCTCACCATATCTTTGATCTGGCAGTGCCCATAGCTGAAGACGATGGCATTGGGGGGGTTTCCCACGGGCAGCATCACAGCAAAGGAGATGCACATGGTGACTGGGATCAGGGTGTAGAGCGGGTTGATGTGCAGAGTTTCAGACTAGAAGAGAGAATCAACAGAAACATTAACTCAGAGTAGTCAGGCATTTCCTGTCCACATATGTGCTTTAAGCAATGACTTGGCTTTGGACACCATGTGCTAGGGCTGCCCTGCTGTCTAGCCATCTAGGGCATGCAGTGCTCCTGGCAACCCGAATGGGCTGAAACTTAGAGGCACTTCCTAGGATGGATGTTTGAACTTGGGGCAGGGGGTAGGGCTGTCGGCCCTAATGCAGTGGTTCTTGAAGTTTATTCTTTCTTCAAACAAAATCTCATGAGTAGGCTGCTTTAATGGAAGCAAGAATGCCTCACCTTTGTGGTATAGAACTGAGGGACCCCCCCCCCCCCATCCCCAGGCAGATAATTGCTTGATTTGAAACCATGGCCTCACTTTGAGTATTGCCATGGGCTTTTTGTTTTGTTTTGTTTTTTTGGTTGTTGTCCCCCCCCCCACCCCGGTCTCTCTTTGAGGCATGGTTTCACAATGTAGCCCTGGCTGACCTAGAACCCGTTATGTAGACCAGGCTGGCCTCAGAGGCAGATGGAGACATCTGAGTAGTGAGCAGAGTGGCCAGGGGGAGCTTGCGTACATGGAGCAGGAGGGGTTGCTGGAGGTGGGTAGGGACCTTCATTTCCTACATTTTCAGATACTTCATTAGTCAAGTGCATTACTTTGGGGGCTTCTTCAACAGGCCAAGATCTGGCAGTTTCTCCCCTCACTTATTATACCAAACATAGCAAACTTTTCTGAGGCCAGAGTGAGGCTGCTTGGAGGTGTTGATTTTTTTTCCTGAGATGATTTCAATATGTAGCCCAGGCTGGCCCCAAACACACTATTCCCTGCTTTAAAAAAAAAAAAGTGTTTCTAGAATTCTTGCTATGGTTTATTGATGCATCTTTATTTATTAATTGGTATTTTTTAAAAAATTACTTTAAACTATGGGTTGAACAGGTCACTGAACACTGTGGGTAGTGAGCGAGGACAGGGAATAACTATGGAAACTGCAGCCCTTAGGGCATTTGCCCTACTCACCAGGGTGCACAGGATGGGCAGGAAGATGGTGATGGTGGCTGGGTTGCTGACAAACTCTGTGACAATCGACACCAGGACACATGCTAGCAGAGTGATGGCCCATGGCGGGAGGCTGCTCAGTGACAGCATCTGGTGCCCAATCCATGTGGAGAGGCCAGAACTCTGCAGGAGGGAGCGGCACCGTGAGAAGGAATGAGTATGCGTGTTCCAGAGGGAGCTCTTAGGCTGCAGGGTCAGGAATGCTGGCTGGAAGGGCCACCAGGGCTCATCCAATCTTCAGCCTGACCAGAGCCAACCTTGTTTATGATTAGATCCAATTTATAGCCCAGAAATGTCTCAAGATGGTACAGCATTTTGTCTTTGGGTTTCCTGGTCCTCAGAGCTATCCCCCTTGACTGCATGATTCTTCCTAGGGCTTTGTTCTGGCAGAGCTGGAGGTCTTTACCCCCTAACTTTGCCCATCGATGTCACTCTCCCCCGTTTTCCAACCTCTGACAACTTTATTCTGTGCCTCCCTCTGTCAATGGTGAGGGTTGTCCCTCCTCTCCTAAAAAAAATGACAGACACTAATGATTGGTTGCCATATGCATTTTTCTTTCTCTCCTCCATGGTGGGCATGCTCAGATTCTTCCTGTAGTACCCTAGGGACTGCAAAGGCAATAAAGAGATGGAGAGCAGAGGCATAAAGCAAGGGGGAGCATTCTGTCATTCCTCAAGCTTCAGGTCCAGCTCTATGTGTCTTACTATTAAAGACCACCTACACTACACTGTCAGAAGGTTGACTTCCTCTTCTTTCCCAAATTCATCAAAAGCTCATATGACCTGTACGGAACCCTCACCACCTCATGACAGGCTCATAGACAGTTGATGACCAGAGGCCTTCAGAATTCTCTCTGTTGAAGCCATGTCTCCAGAGAGGTCTTTTCTTCTGACTGAGAGTTCTAAATATAGTATGTGGAACTTGTGTGATTAGTAATTGGTGTAGCTCCATGCAGCCTTCAGGAGCTCTGTCGTTGTTCCTTCCTGTCAGCCACTGTACCATGAGAACTGGACAGAGGCCGGGGAGGAAGAGCAGTTAGGATGAGTTAGAAACAGTGTGTTTTTAAGGGAACAATGGAGGTTTATTTATGATGCTATCCAAATAGTATTTGTGAGTAAAGTAAAATAATTTGATGATAATTACTTTCCTAACAAATCTTTTATACTAAAATTCGAAATAAAATGATAAATACCTCCACGTTAGAAAAAAGCATAACAAAGGAAATTTTAATTTTTTTAAATTTAGTGTAGGGGCTAGAGAGATGGCTCAGTGGTTAAGAGCACCCACTGCCCTTGTAGAGGACCTAGGTTCAGTTCCCAGCACCCACATGGCAGCTAACAACTGTCAGAAACTCCAGTTCCAGGGGATCTGAAGCCCTCTTTCTGGTCTCCATGGGCCTTGTACACACAGGCGCACTTACATGCAGGCATAACACTCATACACATAAAGTAAAAATCTGAGGGACATCTGGGTACACAAACTTGACCCAGTAGGCCTTAACATATATAACAATGCATGAAATCCAGTGGGAGGACCTCTGGGGGAGTATAATTGGAGGAGGAGGTCTAAGTATGATTAAGATATATTATATGAAATGCACAAAAGTTCAATAAAAATAGACATTGAGAAAAACAAAAATATTTGGTATGAAAACATTTTACCTTGGATTTTCCTCACTTGTGTCAAAACTCTGAACTAATTTCAGGCTCAGTAGGACTAACACAGTAGACTACCTCTAGTATTAAAACGAGTTAAGTCAATAGGGACTGTATTGTCTATAATTCATATACAGTTTTGGTTTTTAAAACCATAGGTCTTGCCAGGGTAGACTAAAGCCAAACAAATAACTAAAATTCAGTGAAAATAAATATAAAATCCTGTACATGGAATTGGAAATGTTGACATCATACCTACAGAATGGACTGTAGGAACTGAAATTTAATAGTGTTGGCCGATGAAAAGGATGAAGAGTTGTATGTGATTACAATTTCAATATAAATGTCGGCACAAGTGCCAAGGAAGCCTTATAAAAGCTCCTAGAAAACTTAGATGACTTAGAGTACAGATTGCTCTTGCAGAGGACCCAGGTTTGGTTCCCAGCACCCACATGGCAGCCAACAACTGTCTTAACTCCAGTTCCAAGTGATCAGACACCCTCTTCTGACCTCCATGGGTATCACATGCACATGGTATACTTATATACATGCAGGCAAGACACTCATTCACATAAAATTAAAAAAAAAAATTCTTTTGGTCTTTTTGAGACAGGATCTCCCTGTACCACAGCTGCCTGGATTCACTATGGTGACCAGGCTAGCCTCAAATTCACAGAGATCCACCTATCTCTGCCTCCTGAGTGCTGGGATTAAAGGCATGTGCCACCACGCCCGGCAATAAAAATAAATAAATTAAAAAAAAAAAAACCACTCTGCAGGCTGATGCCTAATCACAGAATGAGAGTGGTGTGGGTAATATAACTAATCCAGTAGACTGACACCCCTGGACCATATTTAAATATAGCCAAGGTGGGGCTGGAGAGATGGCTCAGTGGTTAAGAGCACTGACTGCTCTTGCAGAGGACCTGAGTTCAATTCCCAGCACCCACATGGTGGCTACAAACCGTCTTTAACTCCAGTTCCAGGGGAATCTGAAGCCGCCTTCTGACCTCGGCGGCATTGCACAACATGGGTATACTCACATACATGCAGGCAATACACATATATACGTGGGGTGAAAATAATAAAAATATTTTAAATATAGCCAAGGTAAACTGTAGTATGTCCTAAGGGGAGGGACCAGGTTGGTAACCTATGAGAATGGTTAAAGGAGCTTGGGAGTTTTAACTAGGAAAAAGATATTGACAGCGCCTATTTATTACTTTAATAATTATTAACCCAGGAGAGCTAAAAAAAAAAAAAAAAAAAAAAAAAAAAGAGCCAGAACCAACAGTGATGACACACAAAAAATGAGAAATGGGCTGAAAATGAGAAACAAGTATTCTTTGCATAGAGAGTACCCCATTAGTGGAGGTGTGCGTGGAGGATGTCCTGAAGGGAAAATACCCATTCGGTGGGAGATGGGGCTGGGTGTCCTTGAGGATCCTTTCCCATGTAGGATTCTGAAATCTGGTTGTCAGTGGTAAGATAGCATTGAGGCCCACAAGGAATGGGCAATCGGAAGTGTACCAGGCTCAGGGCAGATTAGTACATGTAGATGAGGTAGAGGGAGAAACAGTCTGAACCTTAACAGATTCATTCATAGGATACTTTCTATCACGTGGAGCTTCCCACCAGCCTTACTAAAAACATCTCAACTGGAATGTGCCCCGCCAGGAAGTCAAGCAGCCTTGCATCAGCTTCAGCTAAGAGTCTGAGGGACTTAGTCTAGGTATATGGACTAACAGAAGGACAACCCACCGTGTTGTCATTTGGGGGTCTCTATGGGCCCTTACAGTCTACCTAAGTCATTGCTGTGACATCCCAGAAAGAAATGGCTATAACATCCCATAGACATTTTTCTTGTGGCAGTGATGTGGCACAACTGGTCTGTAATTCTGGTCTCAGACACTAAGAAGGTCAGGGAGGAGCAGGACATGTGTTTTGCTCTTTTGTCGTCGTTCCCACTGTCTTGGTAATCATCAGTCTCTTCCTTGGAAACTTCAGGGTTTCCCTCTTAGGGCTATAATAGACTCCTTAGAAAGCTTCTGCACCAATAGTGAACCAATAAGAGAAGAACTGAAGAGTTAGTTACCTTGCTGCCAGAAGCCAGCGCATAGCCTCCTCCCACTAGGATGACGATCTCCCAGGGCATGGTTTTCTGGAAGTCCTTCCATGTGATGATGGGTTCCATCCCCAAGGTGGGCTCCTGGTTTGCCCCTGGATCACCGAAAGAAATGGAGGCTCAGATAAGCCCTGAGGGACAGGGTTTATGAAAAAGGGGTGAATTGCAGGGTTTGGGAGATAGCTGTACTGTCTGGGGAGAGGTCTAAAGGCCTTGGAAAGTCTCTTTTGGAAATTCTGACTTAGTATTCTTTGAATAACACTACCCCCAGCTTTGTCCCTTGAATCATCTCTCACCGTTTTTCTTTTTCCCAAAGCAGGGCTTCTTTGCTGGAATGAGGAAGAGCAGGAAGCCAAGGAACACAGAGACTGTGGCGTCAGTGCGGTAGCCTTTCCTACCAAAGACACAAGCATGGCTGGAGGAGGCAGGTCAGGAATCCTCCAGAATAGCACAAGTCTCAAGACAGGTTGTCTGAACACAGCACCTCTTCATAGGCCCTAGCCTGATGGTGACAACACCCTGACTTCTTGCTAGTTGTGCTGTACCATGGTGGATTCATGACAGGGTTAATGTAGAGCCAGGGCCTGCCTAGTGGGGGAATAGGGGGTGTCTTGGTGTGAAGTGATGGGCCTAGTAGTTGTGGTGAGTTCTAAGACTATAAGGAACTTTTTAGAGAAGGAAGAATTGCAAAGGATGAGTTTCACCCCTGAGAGGGCCGTGCCTCCATACTGGTGTTTGGAGAGCTTGGGGCCTGCACCCTGGCATTTGGGAATATGAGTGGTGTTCGTGTCTACCTCTCCTGGTGCCTTCTTCCTCCTCAGGTTCTTGGTGATCATAGTCTTTTTTAGCTAGTACTTTATAGATGTTTATCCTTTAACTCTTTTAATACCCTAGGAGGTCACTGGGGTTCCAAGAACTTATGTAAGATGGCTAAGGTCACACAGCTGGTAAGTGGCAGCCCTGGATCCCCGGATCCCAACCCCAGACACTGCTTTCTTCCTGGCTCCATCCTGCCACTTCCCTAGAGAGAGCGGATTTCTCAGGGACAAAATGTTTCCTGGGTTGTGTAACCCGTGGTTACTGCCTGAGGAATCTAAGTGAGGGGGTGTTTTTTTTTTTTTCAGGAGGAAATAGTATCACTTACTTTTCAAAGAAAGAATCCCAGCCAGGGACGAAGCCAGGCTCTCGGGTAAACCACAGTACCGTCATCAGGATGAAGAAAAACGCAGTCACCATTTCAGGGTAGCTGTAAGATAAAGCGAAAAGACCCATTTCAGGAACTAGGAACTTTCAGCTTTTTTTTTTTTTACTTTGCTTCTGGAAGCTCCTATTCAGAGCTCCAACACTTTGGGCATAAAACATAGTCACTGTTTAGGCACTAGAATGGTTGATGATGAATTGGGGAAAGGACTGACTGAGCAATGCCGGAGAAGATGACAGTAGCCAACTTTCCTGGAGCACTATAGATGGGAAGAAAAGAGCTGAGTCATGAATGAATAAAGTAGTTCATCCACAGCCTCCACCGTGAATGCGATGCAGTGGGCACCTTCAGATTCTGTGCTGGTAGAAGTATGAACTTTTTAAGTGATTTACAGCATATGCCAGGAACCTTAAGTTTGGTCATTCCCTTCATCTGAGATAGTCACTAGCCATGCACAGTGAATTATTACCTATTAAAACATAGGAACAGCCATTTTGTTCTTTATCCAATGAGGCTCCATGACATTGAATACATTTTGGTACAACTATGGTAAAATGGGATGCATCCAGTAATAGTCATGTTTCCATAGCAGAATGGATGACACTGGGACATAATCATAGCAGAAGGTTAAGTGAAGGAACTTTACAAAAAGTGGTTGTGTGTGTATGTGTGTTCCACAGATTAGTAGTACTGAGGCTTGAGCCCAGCAGTGCCAGCAGCTCAGCAAGTGTCCCCCACTGCACTGACATCCCAGCTCCCTTTTATTTTCTTTTATTTTATTTTGAAATAGGCTCTAAGTTGCCCAGTCTGATCCCAAACTTATCATCCTGCCTTAGCTTTTGGAGTAGATGGGATTATAGGCACGTATCGCTGTGCCCTAGCTTTATCACGTAATTTTGTGCACACATACAAACATGGAAATAAACAGATCATGTTAACATTTAATAGCTAACACTAGGATACAGTGAATTCTAATTTTCTCTTATATTTGCTCTATTTTGTAAATTCTATACAGTGAACATTTGTTCTATTATAACATAACACTTTAAGAAAATACAGTTTCTACCCGAATCATTTTACCCAAAGTTCTGCAGAGCACTTGCTCTAAGAGGTGATATAGAATTAAATAGAATGCTGAGTCACTGTGGGAGTGCTGATAGAAGTGTCTGGGGGTTGGTTAGTGATGTCTTGGACTTTCTGTCTTCAAGTCTGTATTTGATGCTGCCTTATGCTTTAAATATAGCACCCCATCCCCCACCTTCCTATGAGGTGAATGACTGGATCACCACTGTGGCCCACTTAAGAAATGCAGTCTTTGTTTTGTTGTTGTTGTGGTGGTTTTTTTTAGTCTTTTTTGAGACAGGGTCTTCCTGTAGCTCCAGCTGGCCTGGAACACACTATGTAAACCAGGCTGGCCTTGAACTCACAGAGATCCGCCGCCTCTGCCTCCCGAGTGCTAGGACTAAAGGCATGGGCCACCATGCCCAATGGAGTCCTTGCTTTGTAAGTAATCCCTCATGCTCCAAGAGTGGCTGTACTGTCTCTGTTGTCTTCTCCAGCTGCCCCACCAGACATTCCACCCCTATACCACTGCTACACCTTGGATTCCAAAGAGGGTAGCCACTGAAATCTGGGCCAGCTTGGCTTTGGTATTAAATAGCATCTTCTGAAGGCTTAGATTCAGAGTTCTGGATAATTCTACCAGTGTTGGGGACTATCAGGAACAAGGCTGCTTCTGTGCTTTGCTTCACTGCTGTGCTGGGAAGGGGAAAAGGGAATGGAGTTTTTACCTAATGTCCCCCAGCTTTTCATATTCCTCTTGAATCCTCCTCTCTGACAACTCTTCCCTTTTGGTCTTCTTCTTCTTGCTCAAAGAACAGGTCTCTTTAAAGCTAAGAAGAGAATGAGGACAAAAGTAAAGAAAACACGCTTCCGAGGCCCTGAGATCAAAATGAAGCTGGACTACACCTTACTGTGGTCTCTGTCTCCTCTTCACACACATAGCCCCTCTCTCCCTCTGTCTCCTGTTTATACATCTTCTGTTTGCCTAGTTGCCCAGCCTCCCTTGAACCTGCCCCTGGAGTTTGAGTATATCCATCTGGACATGGCTGGGGTATATCAGTGTGAGGTTATATATTACGGGTGCATACCTGGGTATTTATGTGTGGTTGCTTCTATACAACTGTCTTGTGAGTAAAAGAGTTAGAGTGGTGAGGTATATATGTCTACATATCTATCTATCCATCCATCCACCTGTCTGTGTGTTGCAAATACACAGAGGTGTGCATGTATGTATATGTACATCTATTTGTGAGACAAGGCTTGCCTGGGGTAAAAGTAGGTGCTAGTTTTTGTGTATTTATTTATTTTATGTGTATGAGTGTTTTGCTTGCATGTATGTAAATGCATCACAAGCGTGCAAACCTGCAGATGCCAGAAAAGGGTATCAGCTCTCTTAGAACTGGAGTTATGGATGGTTGTTAGCCACCATGTGGGGTGTTGGGAACCAAACCTGGGTCCTCTGCAAGACCAGCCAGTGCTCTTAATCACTGAGCCATTTCTTCAGCTCCAGTTGCTAGTTTTTATATGACAATACTGGCCTGTTTTATACAGCCATCATTGGTTTGACAATGAGCTGAATGAAAAAGAAAATACTCCTTGGCCAACAGTGTTGGGTTCCATAGACTAGCAAAATGTCATATGTATTTTCCTTTGTATGTTTAAATTTAATCAAATTTAGAGTAGACTGATGGTTATGAAGAAAAGGCTTACTAAACTAATATTAGAGATAATGTTACAAGGGTCATGTCTAGCTTGTTATTTTGAAGGATACGAGCACATTCCATGCAAACTACTAAATATAAATCACTCTTGTCCATAAAATTAAACAAGGTGACTTTTATTTGGCAACATATATCTATATGATGTGAGGACAATGAAACTGCTTTGGACGCTCTCCAGTTCAGGGTATCTGTAAATCAGATAGGGCTGCTAGGCGATTAGTTGGTTGTTTTTTGTTTTTGTTTTTCTGACAGGGTCTTCCTAGTTCCAGCCTACTTGGAAGTCACTATATGGACCAGGCTGCCCTTGATCTCACAGAGCTCTACCTGCCTCTGCCTCCCAAGGCCTGGGATTAAAGGTGCATGCCACCATGCCTGGCATTTAGTTGGAATTAAGAACATTTCTTTTTAAAAATGTATTTGTTATTTTTATTTTATGTGTATGAGTGTTTGCCTGCATGTATGTATGTGCACAGTGTGTGTGCTGTGGCACAGGGGCATTGAATCCCCTGGAACTGGAGTTGCAGAGGGCTGTGCGTTGCCATGTGGGTGCCACATCTCATTGTGGACTGAGAGTGAAGTGCATAGTTCATGAAATCTTAGAGATAATGGCCAGCTCCCATCTGGTCCCCTGCACTTCGGGAGCACCCCCTGTTGGTTCCTGGGCATGCCCGCTTTGAGCAGAGCTCTCCCACTTGGACCACAGCCTTTGGATGGACATGAGAACCTCGAAGCTTTGCTAGCAGGGCCCTGGTACTCACTTGCAGCCCAGGAAGAGCCAGTGCATCCAGAACCAGCTGACCACCAGCATGATGAGGGAGATCGGGAAGCTGAAGAGGAACCAGGTGCCAAAGTTCACCACCTCTGCTGCTGGGTATTGGCTGGAAGATAAAGGTCAGGTCAGTGCTTAGAAAAGAGGAAGGTATTTCCCCAGGGTATTTGGGGATGCTCCTTCAGAAGGCATACAGCAGGACTAAGAGGATGGAAATGGCAACCATTTTGCTCCTTGGTACTGGAAGCCGTAGGAGTGGAGGACAAGAGTATGTAGCGTATAAAAAGTGACATAAAAATGAAGCTTAGGTATTGAAGACAGACGTCAAATGAAAGGAAGATGCAGTCCCACATGGAAAGTCTTTGGAAGTCCAAGAAAGGAAGGAGAGGAGTAGAGGGGAAAGTCTGGTGTTCTTAGTTATAAAATCATGACAGATTTGAAGGGGACACAAGGCTCTGGGGCATCATGAAGATTCTGAGGATTAATAGAACCAGGACTTAGAATCTTCAAGTACACACACACACACACACACACACACACACACACACAAACACATTTAACTAAGTTGTAGGGTTTTGAAACAACCAGGATGAATGGTGGGGTAGTCTGTTCACCATTGCCAAGAACAGCCTGGAGAGAGCAGATGGTGTGAGTGGTCCACGAGGCCTGGATCTGGGGAGTTGAGTCTTAAACTCCCTCTGGCCACCCCCCTCCCCTGGCCCTCCTGCCTTTCCCACTACCTCCTTTCCCTTTCATTCTTTCCCTCTCTTCCCCATTTACTTTCCTCCCTCTCAGTCCTGCTAGAAGGAAACTGCCTCTCCTCTAGTCTCCAATGAATTACTCTGCTGGATCCATCCTTTCATGTTTTTCCAGTGGCATCACCCACCAATGATCCCTTCTCCCAAGTCTTTAACTTTCCTGCCATCAGAACCGTTACACTGTTCAAACACCTTCTAGTTTACACGTTCCTCTTGCTCCCCTCGTCCTCCCTAACACCGCTCCTTCCTTTCTTGGCCCTCTGTCTCCTCCCCCTCCCATCTCCTCAGCTCTCTGAAATCCAGCCTCTTTTTATATCACCTGACCAAATTCCTCTTGCATGGGCCACCAGTAACCAGTAAGTCACAAATCTCACAGGAACATTTTATCCTTATTGTATGCCATCACTGGCTGACCATTCCTTTCTTGGACCACTCCATGGGTGAAATGTCACCAGATTTTCCTGTGTTTCCTCTCTCTGGGACTACTTCTTACTTTCGTCAAGTCTGTCTTAAATACCTGCGCTTCATATGTGGTCTACTTTATATATTGTCCATGTTCTCATCCTCCACTCCTAAGGCTTTCATTACCAAGTGGTAAAATGGAAATTTTACCTTGCTTACCTTAAGAATTTCTAGATCTGGAGAGCTGAGTGTCAAACTAGGCACGAGGCTCTTCTGAGCACAGTGTCCCCATGTCACTGTACAGTAGATACATTCATGGTGCTGGCTTGTAGGCCACAGACTAAACCTTTGCCTTCAGCCTCAGTATTTCTCTTGGGAGAAAAGGTAGACATACAAGACCAGCTGCCCCAAATCCCATCGTTCATCTTTTTGCTCAGTGCCATCAGCAGCTGAAGGATGCTTCTCCTCTCTCAGGCCCTCACACATTCTACCAAGACCCATCAGGTTATCTTCAAGGATCTCTCAAATGTGACTGCTTCTCCTCCCTGCCATCTTCCAAGGCCACCAGGAGCTCTCTCCATAAATTCCTTCTGTTCTAGTTTTCAACTGCTGTGATAAAAACTGACCAAAACCAACTTGGGGAGGAAAGGGTTTATCTTTCATCTCCCGGGTCGCAGTTCATCACTGAGGGAAGTCAGGGTAGGAACTCCTGGAAGCAGGAGCTGAAGCACAGGCCATGGAGGAATGCTGCTTACTGGCTTGCTCCCCCGGCTCATGCTCAGCCTGCTTTCTTACACGACACAGGACCACCTGACCAGGGATGGCACTGCCCACAGCGGGCTGGGCCCTCCCACATCACTCAACAGTCAAGAAAAGGCCTCACAGACATGGCCAGAAGCCAGTAGAATAGAAGAAATTCCTTAGTTTCTCCACCCGGTGTGTCAGGTTGACGGCTGAAGCTGCCTCACACACCCTCCTTGTTACACTCCCTTTCCAAGCTCTTCTCCATTCTTCACACAGGATGCTTTCAGAACTAACGCTGACCCCCTTACCTGGCTTTTCACGGCCTCTCACATGCTACCTAAGTTCTCTTGTTGAACCCTTTGTTAACCCTGCTCCTTTACCTCTCTGGCCACTTTTGTCCAGTCATTTCTTTTGAGTGTTCCACTATCCTTCCTCAGAGCCTCTCGCTGTGCTCTGTTCTTTGGAAAGTTCCCATTTAGTTCACTCTGCCTTATCTTCCGGATTGCTCCATCACTGTCACCCCTTTGGGGAGGAACTTCCTCCCTGTAGATGAATGAGCCTTCCAAGCAGAATCCTGGACTCTCACTCTCCTCAACTGACCCAGGAGCTACTCCTGTATCCTGTTACCTCCTAGCACCTACTCTCAATCTGGCCCAACCACCAATGGAGGGTGCTTAGTAAGTACCTGTTGACTGAGGTACTTACTTGTTGAAGTGCTCCAGGAAAATGAGGCTGGTGGAGGTGCCAATGATGGTGGTCAGGCCACCAATGGTGGCGGCGTAGGATATGCTCAGAGAAAGGCACTTGCAGATCATTTGGTCATGCTGGGACCTATATTTCTTCCTGTTCAACTCTTGGTTCCTGGAGCTGGGGGTCAGGACTTGTGGCTTTTCCTACAGAAGGAAAAATCAATGTGTGTCCACAGTCAGCTTGGGCTGTCCAGCATACAACGCCAGAGAGGCAGGAGGCACCATGGTTCAGTGGACAGGTTTTGAGCTGCAGCGGCAGCGAAAACAAACCTCTGCTTCTCCTGTGCCGAGTCGGGCATGCCTCTGAACTGCAGTTTCTTCTGCAAAACCATATTTCTTCTGCCACATGATTGTGAAGGGTAGATGAAGCAATATGTGTCAAACACTTAGCTCACTTCCTGGCATTCATTAAGATGGTAAGTTATTGGGGCTGGAGAGAGATGACTCGGCAGTTAAGAACACTTGCTGCTCTTGCTGAGGACCTGGATTCAGTTCCCAGTACCCACATGGTGGCTTGCAACTGTAACTCTCTAGTTCCTGGGGGCTCCAACGCCATCTTCCAGCCTCCAGGGTCACCAGACATACACATAGTACATACACATATATATATGCAGGCACTCTTCATACATACACATAAAAATAAGTTTGTTTTTTTTTTAAAGAATGATGCTGGGCATGGTGCCACACAGCTTTAATCCCAGTACTTGGGAGGCAGAGGCAGGTGGATTTCTGAGATCAAGGCCAGCCTGGTCTCCATGGTGGGTTCTAGCCCAGCTGGGGTTACAGGGAGACCTTGTCTCAAAAAGACAAAATGACAAAAAAAAAAAAAAAAGCTTTATGATATTTTTGAGATATGGTCTCATATAGCCCAGGTTGGCCTTGAACTCATTGTGTTGCTGAGGATGACCTTGGACTTCGGGTCTTCCTGCTTCCACCTCCCAGGTGCTGGGATTATAAGTATATGCCACCACTCCCAGATTATGATTTTATGTCACTGAGGTTGTTAATATGGATAGCATGTAACACTCCATTTTGTAGTTAAACCAATAGAAGATGGTTATTTTTATGTGGAGTTCGAGTGACAGTCCCAGTGGAGAGGATTAGAATTAAGCCTTGGGCTGGGATGTCGACTAGTGGTAGAGCATTTGCTTAGCATGTACAAGGCTTTGAGTTTGTTCCACGGTATTGCAGAAAACAAAATCAATCAAACAGATCAAATCATCAAAAGACAGAGCTTTCACGGAGGGAAGGTAGCACATGCTCTCCTCCCTCCCTCCCTGCCTCGTTCCTCTCTCCTTTTTGTCCCTTGGCCTTTGTTCTCTACTTTTCTCCCCCCTTTGCACACATGCCTCAGCCTCCCCCTTGTTTCAGACCGTGGCCTTCCAGAATCACAGAAGCAGCTGGTCTCTGGCCTCAAATGTGGGCTAAGAAGGAGGCACCCCTCCCCCTCCAAGTTGGGCCCCTAGCTCTCTTGTTATTTCTTTATATTAAAAAAAAAATTCTTTTTGAGACATGGTCTCATTTAGTTCAGATTGGCTTCAAGCTCACTATGTAGCCAAGGCTGCATCTACTTCCTGAATGACAGGATTATAGCCAGAGCCACCGCCTGACTGCATAAGACTTGGATAAACCAGGTGCAAACATCAACAGGTCAGGTCACAAGAAAACTGACAAGGGAAGAGCCATCTTGCTGCACTTCTCATAGACTTTAAGTAATGTCCATCTTCCTTGCGGGGCCAATGTAAGGCTTGGACACTTCCCACCTCTCTGAAAGCTCACTGCTTGTTCGAGCTGGAAAAGACTGCTTAGACTCTCAGATGAAATGATTTTTCCATGTTCTTTTCTCCTAATGAAATTTTATACTGAGCCCCAATACATGAAACCCCATTGTAGCTTTTAATTGGCATCTATTTCGTAACTGGGAGTCTATCGGGCTTAACTACAAGGCTCAAGGAGATTGGATCTGAATCAAAATGCTGCCTTTACCAGCCTTTGCCTCTTGCTCATGATTTCAGAATCCCTCTGTCCCATTTATAAAAATGGAGTTCCATGGCTGGGCTGGAGAAATGGCTCAGTGGTTAAGAGTGTTGGCTGCTCTTGCAGGTTCAGGTCCCAGAATCCACATGGTAGTTTACAACTATCTGTAACTTCAGTTCCAGAGGATCTGACCCCTATCCTGGCCTCCGTAGGCATCATACGACATGGGTGCACTTACATACATGCAGGCAAGACACTCATACACATAAATAAAAATTTTAAAAATGGAGTTCAAAATCACTACCTCATCAGAACTAGGGAGAAAATGCTTAGCAAAATGCTTGGTACATGCTCACATAGTAAACATTCATAAATGGTGGCAGTCATTTATGACGCCAATGGCTGTTAAACAATTGGCTGTTGATGAGTACAAAAATTTGAAATCAAGGGTTACAGGTGACCACTGCCGCCGCCTACCATCCTCACGGTCCACTGCTTTCTGCATTTTGTTCTAGTGATACACAGGGAAAAACCTATTTGTGTGGAAAAGCAGCTGCTTGTACAATCTCAAGATACTAAAATAGTTTAGAGTCGGGACTGTAAGATGGCTCAGCAGGTTAAGGCATTTGCCATCAAGCCTGCAACCTGAGCTGGATTCCTGGAACCCATACGGTAGAAGGAAAGAACTGACTCGTGCCAGTTGTCCTCTGACTTCTATGTGTACCATGACATGTACACACACACACACGTAATTTAAAAAAATTGGTAACAGCTGGGTGTGGTAGTGCACGCCTGTAATCACAGCACTCAGGAGACAGAGGCAGGTGGATCTCTACAAGATTGAGGCCAGCCTGGTCTACACAGTGAGTTCCAGGCCAGCTGAGGCTACAGGGAGACCCAGTCTCAAAAAGGCCAAAAAAAAATTAAAAATAATATTTACAGTGTCCCTGGAACACCCTTGAGTAATCGTTTGCACACCTCTGATCTATACTAACCTTAGGTATTTGGAGTTGAAAAGCTGTGACCCAGACAATGGCACATCTTGGTGATGTCCAGTGAGTCAGGCATTTTTCTTCCATGCTGCACAAAGGTCAGACATGGCTGTGGGTAAAGATCCTGGTGACAGCTCACTAGCCAGAGACCCGGACAACATCAGCGCTACCACCCTTAGGAAGCACAAGGCATTTCACCTGGGATTCAGTTACCTGTGAGGGGTGCTGCTGCTTGTGTTGGTTTGCTGTTTTCATAGGTTCGGTGGCTGAAGGCACACCATTCAGGTTCTGCTGGGACAAAGGTCATCAAGCTGTTAGGAAGAGGCTGTGATACCAGTCCTTGGACAAGTACTGCCTAATCGCCCTAGGGCTACCCCTCACCTTGCCACTATGAGACAGACCGAAAACCCAGAAGGGCACATCTCAGAACACCCATAGGGTGAGGCTCCATCTTACAGCTCCACCCCTCCCCACAGCAGTGGAAGAGGCTTTTGAAACACGGGGATCATTATTTTCTTAGAGAGCCTGACTTGCTGGAACCTCACTAGCAGATGAAGAACTCCTTACTGCTTTTTTGAAACACAAAACATTTTAAAAAGTTCTACCACAACAAAATTCACACTTTCAGGGCTGGAGGGATGGCGGAGCGGCTAAGAGTGTATACTGTGCTTGCAGAGGGTCAGAGTTCAGTTCCCAAAACCCACATCAGGTGGCTCACAACTGCCTATAACTCCAGTTCCAAGGGATCTAAAACCCTCTTCTGGCTTCTGAGGGCACTTGCCCTCGTGTACAAACTCACACAACAGGAAACACATGCGCATAATTAAAAATAAACTCCTTTTAAAAGTCCACCATTTTATTGACCATTTATACTTCTTATGAAGAGATGTAAAACCAGCTTTAGGGAGAGGCGAGTTTGAGCAACAGCACACAGGTAAACCTTGCCGTCCATTGTAAATGTGACCCTTCAATAATACAATTTTGCAAATGGAATTTCCAGTGAAAGTGATAAAATTTTGAGGTCGAGTATGTGGTTCTTAGAATTGAGATGACTGAATTTTTGGTTTTCATTTTTAAAATTAACTTATATTTTGCTTATTTAACTTGTACTGACTTGTTTGGCTACCCAGGACTCAGAGCTTGGGTTCAGAACCACCCAGGCCTTTTTCAGAAGCCCTTGGTCCTTCTTATGTGCATCCTGGGTGAGTACCTCTCTACCCTTAAATCCACCGAGGCTGCTCCAAGCTGCTGGGCTATAGGATAAGCCCAGCATCTTGCTGCCTAAGTTATTTATCTCAAAGCCCAGGAAAAAACAACCCAGGTCATACCTTGGTCTGCATCAGGGAAGTGAAGTCTGCCTTTGATGTGCTGGAATGGAGCAAAGGAAACAGAGTAACCAGAATGGACCAGGTTTGATGAGAGGGGCATTCCCCATGTTGAATGTTTGGTGTAGGACACTTTACTCTGGACTTGAATTTTCTAATATACAAAGAGGATTAATCTTTCCTTAGTCTTCCTGGCCCTCTGAGATGCCATAAGAGGCCAGGGTCTTGCTTCCTCCTGAGGACAGGGAGAACACCTTCCTTTGAAGTGACACCAACACTTCTAACAGTAGCAAATGTGGAGTGCTGATTGGGTGCAAGCACTTAAATGTAGACCTCATTCCTCAGGACACTGGTAACCCTCAGTACAGACCTAGGGCACCAGTATCACTGCCCCCATTCACATCACTGGGATGCTGGTGGTGGGTGGGCAGGCGTCTCCTACTGTCTCACTGGAGAACCCATGCCCTGCTGATATCCTCAGTGGCTGACTCAAGAAGGCCACTATCTAGAAACAGAAATTTGTGACCTGCTTATCTCAGTGACAGCAGCAGGGAGGGAAAGGCAAGAAAGTACAGAAGATGGGGGAGAATTTCAGATCGGCAACTGCACCTCAGGGAGGACAGTCAACTGCTCAAGGTCCCCTAGCCTTTCCCTTGAAGACAGAGGAGGATGGGAACGATCAGAATTCGGACAGTAGATATTTCCAGTTTGTCTTAGTTGTGAGGACAGTGGGTCCACCACTGAAGGAGGTTTGTAATGAAATGGTCTTTGGAAAATGTGTTGGTATATTTCCCTCCCTTCCCAGATTGGCTGAAGAGGGCAGGCAGGGACTCCTTCAGGAGCAGGGGAGGCACTGGCCGTGGGGAAGAGGGCCAAACAGCCCTGGTTCCGGCAGCACAGAGGGTTCTGAGAAGTCTAGGGACAGCTCGAGTTTTTGTGTCAGACTTGCTGGACATGTGTCTTTATTTGGAAATAGAGTAGGCAAGAAGCTGACACAGGGCAGCCAGAGAGGCCAGCGATAAGAAGACTGGGGCCTGTGCTTTCTGGGCTCCAAAGGGCCATGATGCCTATCTTCCCAGTGGTGGGAACACGTGGGAGGAAGCTGGACTGGAGTCATCCGGAAAAGCACTGCTCAGGAAGCAGTAGCAGCTAGAAACACAGAAGGGAACCACCAGAGCATAGCAACAGAAAGGTGCACGGTAACTATCTGGCCTGGGCTGTGACGAGGTCGCCTCAGGATATTCCACGGGCCCTGGAGGTAGGTACTAAGTGAGAGGGCTGGGGCCTGAATCTTAGGACCCCAACTTGGGCCCCTTTTGCCCCTTGATCTTTCCTGCATCCTAAGTGCCCCAGCCCTGGAGAATGCTGCAGCAGCAGAGGGAGGGACAGCAGGCGAGGGAGATGGGGAGAAGGGGAGGGGGAACAATGAAAGCTCCTTCCCACTTCCATCTCTTCTGCAAGTTTGGGCTGAGAGGGAACAGATGTGGCCCAAGAAGAGGGGAGACGATTTGGATAGGGATGAGACTGCTGAAACTAAGATCCTTCCATCTATGCAAAAGGGACCCAAAGAGCTATGGCATCTGCCTAGGACACCACCAAAGGTGGAGGAGGATGGTTGAAAACTGGTAAGACACAAATTAGGCCATTTCCCAATGGCTTCCTTCTGCATCTGTCCCTCTATGTAGGCTGACTTCACTCAGTGTGAGATCTCCAGTCTTTAACGAAAAGGGAAAATTACAAAGATCCATTGCAAGATCCAACTTTTAAATGTGTAATATTCATCACGAGATGCCGCTAAAGATCACGTTTTTATATAGCCTCTCTAAAAGGAGTGAGCTGTTGATGGACCCCATCTTATGTGAATGTTCAAGACTATGCTTCTCCTTTCTACAGGCATCCTATGGCCTGTCACCAACTGCCCATTTGTATTCTAAGGACATCGCCGTAGGTGAAAATGCGCTTGGCAGTAATATGGGTAGTTCCCATATCCACCCAGCATTAGCATGGACTTTTTATTTCTTCCTCATCTTTGCAGTGCTCTGGGGTTAAGACAGTCTCCCTCAAGATCTCGGAAAGTGGCTCCTAGGGATGGAGACAAGATGGTGAACTTGGTCCACACATCTACAAGAGCTGCTTTTGGTCCCATCGTTCCTGACTCCTTCCATGGGCCCGAGAGGCTCCATCTGGGAGGAGGACAGTCATACTCACTCTTCGTTGACAAAGATGAGTTCCAGAGGAGCTTGGCTGTTGTTTACATCAAGACCTACAGTGGCAAAGGAATACAGGAAGTGAAATGAAAGTTTGCTGGAGCAGACTGTGTGGAAGAGTTCAGGGACTCAAGCAGGGCAAGTGTGGTGGGTGGCCAACTCCCCTTCTCTCCCTCTGAAGGTATAGTGGGGCTGTGGATGCAGACAGACCCCAGGGTTTACAGTAATGCTCGTAAGAGACAAAGGCAGTGGGGGTATCTGTAAGCGAAGGAGGAAGAAGAGTGGGAACTTCTGGTTATGAGAGCTGGCATGGGAAAGAGGGGAGAACTAAGAGGAGGGGATGCACACCGGGTTGGGCAGTGTCACAAGAGGAGCTGGTGGAGAACCCAGGGAGAAGGATGGAGGCGCAAAGGGGAGCTGAACTCCAGCGAACTGTACCCATGAGCTCAGCTGCTTCTGCGTTGGAGTTGTCTGCCCCCAGCTGCTCCTCCTCAGCATTTATCAACTCCTGCAGCACAGCCTCCACAATGGGCATTACCATGGCAGTGGTGGAGGTGTTGGAGAGCCACATGGACAGCATGGTGGTGCAGCACATGAAGCACAGCAGCAGCCTGGAGGGCAAGGACACATGGGGCAGAGCATTGGCAGAATGCCTATCTCTGGGTTTCTGATGGTGGGCTTCACAGAACACTTCTCCTAACAACTGGTGGTGCTGGTGTAGGCATTAATCAGCCAAATTGGGTCTTTATGGCCCACAGGGTGCTATTCAGTTTTGTACTCCCAGTGCTTGGCACAGAGCACAGATTTCAACACTGAACCAATAAATGAATTCATGAGCTAGTGACTTAGCCAGGAAAAGGCCTTTAATGAATCAAAGAATAGCTTTAGTTGAAAGGTCACAGGGTATAGACTTCACAGGGTATAGACTTACTGCTCTCTCTCTCTCTCTCTCTCTCCCTCTCTCTCTCTCTCTCTCATAGAGCTCTGTGATATGTTTCTTGTGTATTAGGGAATTCTTTTTCTGCCCTTGCAGCCAACAAATCTGGGTACCTTTGCATTCCTTGTTCTGTGCAAGTCGCCATAGTTGTTTGTGAGCAAGTAGAGATTAAGGCCTGGAGCTCACAGTTCTGCCCACTACTTGTTTCAATGCCAACTCTCTGAGAGTATGGCCACAAAGTCACAGAAGTGTCCCATATCACTATTTGGGTACACTGAAAGAGTCCAGCTTGGAGGAAGATACTAACAAAAATAGCCTTCAAATTCTTTCTCTTTGGCTTTGAAAACACTGTGCAAGGTATCCTGGTAACAGACGTGGCTCTCGTTGCCATAAGATAAGGTGACACAAAGACTGCTCTTTATTATTTTAGAGAACTTTGCACAATCTGGGGAAGAATGTGCATGGATTACGCCTTAGGAGGCCCAGCTCTGATGCTGCTGTGTTTAAGCTGACAGCAACATAGTTTGCTTGTTTTGCACAGTCACTGATAACATATCATGCTGGGTGGAAACTTGCTGGGTGGTGAGGTAAATAGGGAAGAGGGGAAGCAAATGGGTGAGAAATTTGTAGACAGTTTTCAAGAGCTATGTGAGTGCTAGGGATGTAGCTAGGGGTAGAGTGCTTGCCATGGGCAAGGACCTGGGTTTATTCATTCCCTGGTACCACAAAAGAAAAAAACAAACAACAAAGGAACCAAAAGGTCCCAACATGGTGGAGGAAACGCAACTGTGTATCTAGAAGGTGGTATGTGGGTGGATGGCTGCTGGGCTGGGGTGGGTTAAGCTGTAGTTAGCAGCCTTATTTGGCAATTTGGGGGCCAGGAACATTCTTTTGAATATAACGTTAGTCGATGCTGAAAACGAATGCTACACTATTGGTTTGTATTCTGGCCCTCCAAGGGCTGAGGGCAGCTTACATACAAAGTAGAGCAAGTTCTGAACTAGGAATCAAGTGGGGAAGGCGAACACAGCTGACCCAATGCTGTGGGAGTAAGGCTCACACAAAACCATCCAACCTCCTGTTCTCTGAGGGTGAGAATCTCTCTGGTGTGGTCTTCTTACAGCAGTGTGGAAAGAGGAAGCAGCCAAGGGCATGGTCAAATACAATGTGTCTAAAACATCTGTGGTCTGGAGGCATCTTAAATGACAACAGGAAAGGTACCCACTTCTTTTTTGGTTGTAAGCCTGAGCCTTTAACAGCTAAGCCATCTCTCCAGTCTGGTACCCTATTCTTTGTCCTGCTCATGCCCTAATATACAGGGAAAAGGTTGGGACAATTTCTGTCAGTCCAGCCTGTGCTGCTTAACAAGGCCCTCATATGTTGTAACTCGCTGCCCTTGCAGTCTAGGTTGTCAGAAAAATTCTTTAGATTCTGGGGACAGTGGCATCAGGGTCACTGTGCAAATCTGTATTCCACAGTTGTCGGACTGATGGGAGAGGTGAGAGTCCATAGCTCTGATGTCACCTCCCCTGTGATCAGAGAAACAAGCTCAAGTGACATCCTGCTGTGCTCAGACCCACTTACTCAGACCCCAGTTAGGACTTACATGCCCGGCTTGGCTCCGGCCATCAAGACCATGCGCAAAGCAATGCGCTTGTGCAGGTTCCACTTCTCCACAGCTGCTGCCACGCAGATGACACCGACCAACAGCATGGTGGTGTTCTTGAAGTACTCAGCTGCCACCTGCAGAGAGGCCGTGGAGGTCAGCCAGCCTCCTGGACTAGAGCCCAGTACCAGCTGAGACAGGGCCAGTACAACATGTCCTTAGACCCAGAGGCTGGTGAAGCAGGGAGGCGAAGGGTATGCAAACAACTGGCTGTTTCCTTTCTCTTCATGCACTTCCATGACTCGAACCCAGGGCCCTCCTCATGCTAGGCAAGCACTCTGCCACTAAGTTCCACCACTAGCTAAATAGCTGGTTATTTAAAAATAGTATCTCCTGAGCACCAGCCAACCTTGGCCAACTACTGTGCTAAGCACTTCACAACAGTGATTTGATTCCATCCCTCCAATAAATCCATATAGTACATAGTCTCCATTTAAAAAAATTAATGTATTTAAATTTGATATGAATGTGAGTTTTAAAGAATAAGTACATATAGTTTTGTTTTGGACTTCAAAAAATATTAAAACAGGGTGTGGCAGCATAGGCTTGTAATCCCAACGCATTCGGAGAATCAGAAGTTCAAGGTTCATCACCAGCTACATAAGTGAATTTGAGGCCAGCCTGGGCTACATGATACCCTGTCTTTGAACAAACAAACAAACAAACAAACAAACACCAAAAGAGGAACGAAGGAGATGGCTCAGTGGATAAGAGGGTTAAAAAGCCGAGTGCAGCATTGTGCATGGCTCATAACCTCACCATAGTAGGGGTGGAGTCAGGAGGATCCCTGGGAATTGCCAGCTACCAGCCTTGCTCCAGTTTCAGTGAGGACCTTATTTCAAGGGGATAAGGCAGAGGAATAAAGCAGGACACCTAACATCCTCCTCTGCCCTCTGCAGTGAACAGTGATGAATACAGATACTCATAGCTGCTCAAGACGTTTAGAATAAATGATGGTTTAGTGCTCTCAACAGGACATTCATACCACTTCCTCTAAGGCTCAGGGAACACTGAGGAAGAGGAAGCTGGAAGAAGACAGGCAGAAGGGCTGGGAAATGCTGTCTTCTGGGCGTGACAGAGCCTCTCAGATGTGATCTCCCAGCAGCTGCAGTGGCCTGCAGATAACCGTGAATCCGGGAAGGGATCCTGGGGCCCTGCTGAGCTACTGACTATTGACTTTATTTTTAGATAGGTCTCCCTGTAACCCCAGCTGGCCTGGCACTCGCTATGTAGACCAGGCTGGCCTCAATCTCACAGAGACCTGCCTGCCTCTGCCTCCCAAATGCTAGGACTAAAGGCATGCGCTATCACGCCCAGTCTGGCTACTGATGGATTTTAAGAGAGGGACAGTCATTGTCTTCAGTTGTGGACCAATGGTGAGCCCACCGGCTCCAACGGATACTTCCAAATCCATGGCCACACAGACAGTCCTGGTTAAAATCAGAGTCTCAAAACAAATAAAAAAGACATGGATGTGGGAAACATCTGTATGGAGGAGAGGGTATAAACGGGAAGGGAGGGAGAAGAGAAGGTAGGGGTGAGCGTAAACAGAATGCCTTATATACATATATGAAATTGTCAAAGAACTAAATCAATTAAAAAGGTGGCATTTAAGGGAAGAAACATATGTAGTGGCTGGAAGTCTACTTTTATTAATTTTATTTTATGTGTATGAGTGTATTGCCTACATGTATGTAAGAGCACCCAAGTTGTGCAATGCCTGAAGAGGTCAGAAGAGGGCATCAAATCCCCTGGAACACAAGTTACAGATGGTTGTTAGCTGCCATGTAGATGCTGGGAATCAAACCCAGGTCCTCTGCAAGAGCAACCAGTGCTCTTAACCACGGAGCCATGTCTCCAGCCCCAAGAAATCTACTTTTAAAGGGATCACAAAGGACACATGCTTCTGCCTGCTGTTTTTGATATAACCTGACAAACATGACTAAGTTTGCCACACACACCTAGGAGAAGAGCATTCTGGGTAGAAGAAGAAGTAAGTTGAATGGAGTATGTTCAAAGGAAGGCAAGAATGTCATCGTGGTCATAGAGAAATCAACAAGGAGAGAGCAATAGGAATGTCTCACACCTTTAAAAAACATTTTTAAAAATTCAAATAATTCTAAATAATTTCAAAGTTTTAAAGAACTAAAAAAAATGGACACAGAATAAGAAATACCCATATATTATCTGACTACATTTTCTTCCCTTAATCCATTTGAGGGTAAGTTACATACATTCTGGCTCCTTGCCCCTAAATACTTATATGTATATTTCCTAGGAATACAGATACTCTCTTTATGTAACCACACTATCATTATAAACCTCTTTTACTTTGTAATGATGTGGAAATTGAGCCCACGGACCCATTAGAAAGATACTTTGTGTGCCTGGGGCGCATATGAATCTTCATGTGAGTCCCTCTCTTGGAACATTCTGTCTTCATCTCTGGCTGCACATTCTGAACAGACTGCAAAGCCAAGTTCAGGCCTGGTGCCCTCCATCAACCCTCCTGCGGTTCTAGCCCTGATTCCAGAACAGTCCCTGTGGACACTATTAATGCTGTGCACCACAGAACATGTGGGGCAACACTTGAGTTGTGACTTCAGGCGTGTACTGAAGTTTGCCTAGTTTTTATATCCATCTCATGTTTTTTAGCTAAATTTTGGGCTGCTAACAGCAGAATAATACACAAAAGTAAATGCTCAATAAATATTTGTCACATGGCCGTAGTGATGCATATCTTTAATCCCAGCACTCGGGAGTCAGAGGCAGGTGGATCTCTGTGAGACTGAGGCCAGCCTGGTCTACATAGTGAGTTCCAGGCCAACTGGGGCTACAAGAAGACCTTGTCTCAAAAAGCCCTTCCCCCCAAATCCCAGACAAACAAAAAACTACAAAAAATATGTGCACATATATGAGAGCTCCTAAGTGGAGGAGCCATGACAGACGTGAGAAGATTTAATTTTTAACTTAAAATTCCCCTTACAGTGAGAGAATGAGAACATTTTTAACTGTAGGAAAAAGAATTGAGCAAGAGGGGAAATTTAAATATAGTAAAATATGTGGTGTTGGAAGTCAACAGTATTTACATATCACTTTGTCACATTTTGATTATTGAACTAAAAGAACTTCCGGGGTTGGAGATGACTCAGTGGGTAAAAGCACTTGCCAGCAAGCCTGACCACCAGACTTTGGATTCCTGGACCCCATAGAAAAAGCCAGACTTGGTAGTGTGCATCTGTAATTCCAGCACTCCTATAGGGGAGGCGGCGGGCAAAGACAGGAGAATCATCTGGAAGCTTGCAGGCCAGCTGTGTACACAGCACAGTGGTGGAAACAAGAAGAGAGACCCTACTTCAAATAAGGTGGAAGGCAAGAACCATATCCCAAACGTTGTCCTCTGACCCCCACATGCATGCTGTGGCACACACGTGTCTGCAGTCTCTCTCTCTCTCTCTCTCTCTCTCTCTCTCTCTCTCTCACACACACACACACACACACACACACACACACACACATGCAGGGATCTCTCTCTCTCTCTCTCTCTCTCTCTCTCTCTCTCTCTCTCTCTCACCCACACACACACACACACACACACACACACACACACATACACACACACAGCTGTGACACAACTATATTGGAAGGATGGATAAGGGGACAGTGGAGGATGTAAGAGAACACAGGCTTCATCTGCTGTAACAGAAAGTCAACTATTAATGTCTAAAATCGAGGACTCAAGAATGAATGCCATGCCATGTGGGAATGTGGTACTTAATGCCAGAGGAAGCAGGTAGCCCAGTTGACAGGCGTGGAGTCTGAGGGCAGGTGGGTGGGACTTGATAGGAGTCAGTGAGGACGAGGTAGGGAAGGAGACTGATATTTTTTCGTGATAAGCTTTCCATTTATTCAGTTTTTAAACTTTGTGCAAACAGCCCAGGATACTGTTACCTAATAAAGGTCCCGGTTCCATTTCTCTCCCCTCTTTTTTTTTTTTTTTAACTCATTGGCTTGATGTGGTTTATATAGAATGAACATCTGTCTTTCTGGTTGATCTAGCCTTTGTCCCCAAGCTCACCCCTCCGCTGACCATGGTCACTAATGCTCCTGGAGTCCACAGAAAGTGCCTTGTCCTGGTCAGTTTGAGGCCTCTCTGGAGGGACACTGGTCACTGGGAAAGTTACTGTGACCTAGCAGGAGGAAGAAGTGTTGCTGGGGTGCCCTCTGGCTGCAGCTGAGTGTTGGGGTCTTGTAACCTAGTTTTCTCCCCAGGCTTCCAGGAGGCTGTTCATGACACTATGAAAGTTTTACTTTCCTTTGTCTACCAGGGGGAGAACCCCACAGAAGGTACGAGGCAAGGAAATTCTTGTGGGTGTTTCCTCCACCAGCCCCATGCCTACTGTTGCTGAATAGATCAATAAGAGTAGGTTTCCTTTTCCAGGAGGATGGAGACAAAAATTAGTTCTCTGCCTCTTTGGCCTATGTCGTTCCATGACACCAGTTTGTCTGTAATGCCTTTTACGAGGCTCATTGTTACACAGAGGTGAGGCTACATCCTCCGGGCCCAAGGGAAACAGAAGGACCCACAGGTGGACTGGAGAGCTTTCTGCATGCCAGGGACTTGGCATCAGCTTTCTCCTCTGAGCCCTACAGCAGTCCTATCAGGGGCACCCTGACTGTGTCTACTTTAAAGATGAGGAAACTCAGACAGGTTGAGGCATTGTGTAGGGGCAGAGGCAAGGTATCCAGGCCCAATTGATGCCCAAACCTACTAAGTACCATGCCACGCAAGGTGGGCCAACTGGAAACCAACTGGGAGCAGACTCTTCCTAGTGCCTGACAGTGCTGACTGGCACATGTTTCTAATCCTCATTCACAGGCATAATCCTGCCACTGGCCTTAACCGCCCAGGCCTAGGACCAATCAAAGACTCAGCTTCCATGTGTTGTTGGCTCTGTGCTGTTTTCTCATTGAGTGTTTGATGTGCTTAGATTGATTCACATGCCTTCTTTGGCTTCTTGTGTCACCATGTATGTGGGAGACACAGCCAGGGGCCCTGGATGTAGGTTGTAAATAT